CGGAGGCCCGGAGGCCCGGAGCGGGCGCGGAGGCCGGGCTGGGGTCCTGCGCCCGCCGGCCGCTCCGCCCGCCGCAGGGACCGTACGCTTCCGCGAGGGGCTCCCGGCTTGCGTTCCTGGCGGGCCGCGGCTGATTATCCGCGCCTGATTATTCACGGGTGAAAAGTTTCACGAAGGTCGCCCAACTCGTTTGCCGGCGCGGAGGCTTTGGCCACCCAGCCCGCCACCCCCTTGTTAAACGCCGGCGCCCGGCAGACGGAAACTTCCCAGGCTTCTTCCTGCGCTCCCACGCGTCAGTTCTGCCCAGCCGAGGGCCCAACCCGGGAAGGTGCAGGGTGGAGGTTAAATAATGATTCGTGTGTGTGTGTGTGTGTGTGTACCTGTGTTGGTGCGGGTCTGATGTACCTCCGCCCGCTACACCCTTTTTGAGACAAGAGCTCGCTGTGCAATTCAAGCTGCTTTGAACTCACCTATATGCCTCAGTATTTGCTGCAGCCCTCCTGCCTCAGCCTCTTGAATGCTGAGATTACAGGCGTGCACCCCCACACCCAGTTTCTGTTCCTTTCATTTTGATGAACTCTGAAGTGTTCTTGTCCCCAGGAGATGGGTGGCGGGGGACATATTTAGCTAAGGAAGTCAACCAAGACTGAAATGGATGAAATTTTTTACTTTAGAAATGAGGAAGTCAGTCTGAAGCAGGTTAGTGACGTTTGCGTTTGTGGGTTCCCTGAGCAGGCTCCACCTGGCCCGTCCCAGAGGACATCAGTCACTTTCAAAACAACTTCAGTATTCACACGCAGTCTGTCCGCTACAGCTTTCTTCTGAAATAAAAGAAAACATGGGAGACCTTCCAACCTTTGAGCTTCAGATTGACAATGAAAGTGAAAATAGAACCCCAAGCTCTGAGCTCGGAAACCAACCTGGTTGCAAATGATTAATGTGCCCATGTGATCACTGTCATCGTCATCTGGTCCAGCCTGGGAGTCTGTCATAAAAGAACAAGCATGGCATTTAATTTAAAGTCATTAATACATAATTAATTGTGCCAGGAACTTGCAGAACACAGGGAGAGACAGAAATGGCAGAGAAAACTTTGTTTATTCACTGATTTTTGGATTTGAATGGCTAGGTCCGTTGATCTTGCTCAGGAATGGTGGTAAGGGCCACCCTCCTGGATGTCAGGCCGAATCTGACATGGTGGTGGGTTTGTAAACAGAATGGGTTGTGTCGTTTGGATCAGTGGGTCTTTTGAGGTACTGAAAAGAACCTCACTGAACTTGGGGCACCCACGGCTCTTTTTCAGCACGAATCGAGTTCGTGTCCAGTGGCTGGGTCTGTCTTCACTGTGACTTGCTGAGGGATGGAAGAATGAGGTTTTCTAAGTGGTTAATATTTAATTAGATCGTTCCCAGAAATATCCAGTGAGTTGCCAGCCAGGCCTCACCGTGGAAAGGGCCCAGAGAGACTGGGCTCCTGTTTCTGGTCTCCTTCGGGACAGAAAATAGCACTTCCGCTCTCGGACCTGCTTCCTTTGGAAGGCGCAGCCTGCCTTGACTTTGACAGCGCTGCGGGGGCAGTGCAGCTGGCTTAGGAGCGAGCTCCTCCCTGCCCACCAGCCTTGTTTGTCCTCTTGGGTCAGAAAGAAGAGCTTGGGAGGTTGCTTTCTGGACAGGCCACGCCCTGTTTTGCCCTGGCTGCTACAGGGAGCTCTCAGGAGTGTTGGGTGAGGGCACCAGGTTTTGATTTGGGTGCCCTGCGCTTGTGGCTGGGATGGGTTTCAAACTCCTAAGGTGCAGGACTGAGTGGGTTCCTGATCCCAGCGAGTGTCCAGAAAGCTGTCTCTTCTGCCCTGTGACTTTAGTCCCTTTGGGAGAAAGCCCCTTTTCAAAACAGAGGGACAAAATTTTATTAATTGCTTCTCATTTTTATACTCTGAATACAGAATACTACCGGATACGTTAGCCCTGTGTGCTGAACCCGAAAGTTGGCTGTAGGGTTCAAAAACTGGTCTGCTTTGGGAGGCAAAGGTGGAAGGGTAACAAGTTCGAGACTTGCCTGGGCAACTTAGTGAGACCCTCTCTTTTTTTTTTTTTTTTTTGGTGGAACCAGGGATTGAGCTCAGGCCTTGCACTTGCCAGGGAAGCACTTATTCTACTGAGCCATCTCCCCGGCCCAGAGACCCTGTTTCAAAATAGAATGTGAAAAGGGTTAGAGATGTAGTTCAGCGTAAAGGTCCTGAGTTCAATCCCTGGTACTACAAGGAAAAAAAAAGTTGGCATGCCTTCAGGAAACACACTGATAGCAGGAATATGTGATTTCTAGCCACTGTCCCTGAGCTGCTTGCTTAAATCCTAAAGGCTTTCTGTCCTGTGAGGAGGCTGCTCTAAGAATGAGCGATACTGTGGAGGAGGTTGCATAATGGCCCCCAAGTATGTTGTGTACCAGGCCCTGGGCCCAGTGCGTGTGCTACAGAACTGGGTAAGCGGAAGCACAGCACCTGACTTGGAGCTGGGTGAGTGGCATGAGGGACCAGGTGGGCCCAGTGGAGCCACAGGGTCTTCAGGTATGGATGAGAATTGGCAGAGCTTGGAATGATGCAGCTGAAGACTCTACAGCCCGTGGAGGCTTTGAAGGAGTCCACCAAGGAATGGGGCCATCTCTGTAGTCTGAACTTCTGTTGTCTTAAGCCACGAAGCCTGCCTGTGGCATTTCGTTGTAGCAGTCACAGCAGAGACAGTTTAGAGGCTGGCATTTTCCAGGTCAGGGACATAATTGCATAGCCTGCGTGATAGAGACTCACGTTTATCAACAGCTCAGAACTCCTCGCCCTGCCTGATAGAAGAGCCACAGGTATCACTTGGGCTCATCTAGTGGCCTCTAGGAGCATAAACAGACAGGTGGAGGCAATTTCATTTGGAGCATTTATTTCCTCCTGGAGATTGAACCCGTGTCTTTCACACTGAGTTAATTTCTTAGCCCTCTTATTTTTTTATTTTCAGGACGGGTCTTGCTAAATTACTCAGGTTGGGCTCCAACTTGTGATCCTCTTGCCTCAGCCTCCCATGGTGTTGGGAGCAGTTATATCTTTTTTATTTAGTCTGTTGTGGCCTTTTGGTGGTGGTGGTGGTTCTGGGAACCAAACTTAGGACCTTGCACTGGCCAGGCAGGCACTTGTGCATCGCCCTTTCGACGAGTAGTCACTAAACCTGAATGGGCTAGTTCACGTCATGCTTCACTCACTCCTAAGTCTCTGAAGTCAGGTATGTATTTGGCGCAGCTCACGAGCCAGGTCCTAGAAGCCACACACAGCTGGCTACCGCTTTCGATAGTGCAGTGTCTGAAGCACCAGGGAGCTTGAAGAAGCAGTGTGCAGGCCTCAGCAGCGGCTGGTTCTGTTGGCACCAGAATCCTGCAAGTAGGATGGGGTTGCGCTCTCCCAGCCAGGTGGCCCTCAGACTCGCTATGGGCAGCAGACCGCAGGGTACAGACTGCTGTCTGGAGCTTGCCCTGAGTTCCCAGGGTGAACGCAGTGTCTTAAGACCCCTGGGCCCCGTGCATGCCCACCGGGCCACTTCCTAAACAGAGTGAATCTGCAGCAAAAGCTGCCACTCACCCTCCCCTGGCCTGCAAAACGTTTCTGATAATGAACGAGGTGCCCAGCCCCAGTGTGGAAGACTCCTGACCTGTGTAGTGGGTGGCTGGGATGTGTCTGACCATAGTCATGAGGCTGAGCCTCAGCAGGTGGCACCAGGGTGTCCTGTCCCCTCCCCATTGTGTCCCAAGCAACAAGCAGAGTCCTGGTGCCCACAGCTGGATGCCCAGAGGCACGCCAAGGCTCCTCTGCAGGGAGAGAAAAGACCAGGCCCAGCATCCCCAGGCCACCTTCTAAAGCTCCAGGTGGCCAGAGCCCCCCTCTTGAGTGTCACCTTCCCAGATCCTGTGTATCCAGGACAAAACAGTATGCCCTGGGAGTCTCCAGTCATCCTCGCTCCCCCGTAGTGGGGAGAGATGCCAGCTAGGGCTTGTGGGCTGAGGCAGAACAGGCAAGATACTAGGTCAGGCTGGCTCTTGTCACTTTGCATTCCTGTGCCTCAGTCTTTTCATCTGCAAAATGGGTGTACTAACAGCCTCCCCGCCCCTCGTGGAGAGACAGAGGATCTGTAGACATGCGTGGATCTGGGGTGTGGTGATGCTGGGTTCACTGTGTGCAGAACAGAGACTGACCCTGTGGGATGCTGACCTGAGCCCTGAGTTTAGGCAACCATAAGTGGGGAGCCAGGGCTTCTGGGGACACAAGTGAAGAACAGCCGACCCTGGAAGAGTAAGGCCCTGTGCGAGTCCTCCAGATGTTCTCCATCTGGTGGCTGTGCTGCAGCACACATCTGCAGGAGGGCACTCCAGAGAGGATGGGGCCCACATGGCCTGCAAACTGACCCTCACACTTGTAGTCCTAGAGGGTGAACCCAGAACCTCCTGTGTGCAAGACAAGGGTTCTCCTCCAAGCTGTTTTTTCAGCTCTTTATTCGTGTTCGGTCTCATTAACACAAAATAAAGAACAGCCGGACGTGTAATGCTTGATCCTCCTGCCTCAGCCTCTAGGGCAGCAGCGACTTACAGGTGTGTGCCACCCACCTGGCTAGCCTTGCCCTTCTCAGTAGAAGAGTGTGGACTTGGCCCGGAACCTGCGAATGAAATGCAGGCAGCCCGCGTGGAAACCTCTGGAGTGGTGTCGGAAACCCAGCCACCAGCCTGCGAGCTCGGTCCCGCTGGGTGGCTGTGCTCGGCAGCCTGGCCTTCCCCCGCTGCGCTGCCCGCCTGCCAGCTCCTGCGTAGGTGAGGGCTGGCTCAGGTGTCACCCTGTTTGTGAAGCCTCTTCCACCAGCGCTTTCCTGTGGCCTCCCTTGTCGTCGTGTGCTCTGCCGAGGAGTAGGGAGCAGAGGACAGATGTGAGGCTGGGCCTGCTTCAGCCCTGGTCAGCAGCCTGTCTACTATGGCCTGAAACCCTTAGGCAGGATGGCCATCCTCGGTCACGCGCCTGTGAAGACGTAGCTTACTTAGGTCAACTGTTTTTTTCTCTGGTGCAAATAAACACCAGCCTCCAACTGCCACAGGCTTGTCTGCCTGGGAGTGACTCAGGCCCTGGCTTGTGGGACAGACAGGTCTTTGGTGATGTCACTAGTGCCCAGGAACGAAACCACTGGGCTGGGTCCCTGCCAGTTCTAGAACTGGCATGGTGGGAGTGTGACTCAGGGCCAAATCTTCCTGCTCCTGTGTGTCACCCACAAAGTCAGCAACACAGGTGGCAGTGGACTGGGTTGCGAATTTGTTGGCATTCTCTAGAACATGGATTCTCCCTGGGGCTCTCTTGGACGTGTAGGCTGCTGTGGCCCAGTTTCCTGAACACAGGGCTGGGACCCATGGGGGCCGGAGCCACTAGTGGAGAGGGACGGCTGCATGGGGCAGCCAGCGCTTCCTTCCTGTCAGAGTAGCGATCCATTCTGCTGTGCACGTGGCCTGTGTGGCCGTCGCAGCCACAGAAGTGCTGTGTTTGCCATCATCAATGGCCTTTGAGGTGGCGAGAGTGCCTGAATGAGAGCGCGCTGTCCTTCACGCCAGCCTTTGAAAGTGCGGAGCAGGGTGACCCGCCATGCTGCCAGCCTCTGAAGAGCGTTTCTGTCCCTGCCACGGGCCTCGTGATAACAGCACAAGGAGGCTTAAGTTGATTCATTCCAGGGTTGATTTTAAAAACAGAAATTGTTTTATAGCTACTCAACCATGTAGCTCTTGTGGCTAAATTATGAGCTGGAGAGAGACGCTGCCTTGAAGTTAGCCAGCCCTTGGTTGGAAAGCGCTTGGCGCATTCGAGTGGCCCTCTCCTGTGTGTCCAGGAAAGATTTAAGGGCTTGGGGCAGGGGACGGGCATGGAGTCAAGCACTTGCCCACTGCGCCTGGGCTCACCCCCCCCCCACACTGCAGCAAAGCCAAACAAGAAAAGGACAGATTGGTGACTGCCAGGCATGGTGTGGGACTGCACCAGGGAGCCAGAGGGCACTTGTCCCTTGGAATCTGTGAGGTTCAGTTCCCGGACCCCAGAAGCTCAAGTCTCTATGGAATGATGCAGGTTTGCGTGTCAGCTGCACGGTCCTCCTGTGCACTGGAACCCACAGCCTGTGGCTGTCCTCCATCGCTGGGGAACAGTGACAGAAGCCTGGCATGTGGTGTGCAGCACACAGTTCTCAGCCAGTTTTTTGCTGGAGGGTGGCTGACATGCAGCTGCAGAGGTGTGGGCTCTAGGGGTCACCTGTGCTTCCGTTTCTGGGGTTGAGGTGGGGACAGTGTACGGTGGCAGACAGACAAGACTTTCTGATGGCAGTGCTGCAGATGGGGTTAAGATGTGAGAGAGCGTGGGGCCAGGGAAATGGCTCAGTGGAATAAGTGCTTCCCTGGCAAGCGCAAGGGACTGAGTTCAATTCCGGGTTCCACCAAAAAAAAAAAGATGTGAGAGAGCATTTAGCAGGTGACTGGGGGGCACAGGAGAGGTACCAAGGCCCTGAGCTGGGCGGCAGGATGGCTGGGGTGGGCCCTGGCTCTGGTGGAACGCAGTGAGACTCCTTAGAGCAGTGCTGGGGCTGCTTCCACACCACACCTGTCTGCCCTGCACTCCCCCCGGATTCCTAAACTGGGGCTGGAACCTGCCCGCCTCCCAAGAAGGTTCTGTGCCTCTGCAGAAATGGGGAGAGCACCCCCAAGACTGCCACAGTGCTACCCACTGTCCCCAAGGGCACTCAGCCAGTGGGGGTCAGCAGACTGTTCTTCTGCCTGAGGTTCTTCTAGCCCTGAGCCTGACAGGAGTCAGGGTGCCAGGCAGCAGATGGACACCCCTGAAATGGTCACCACCGCCCTCAGGACTCTTCTGTCCGCAGCACTGGGTTTCTATTCTGCCCTCGAGGTCATGATCCTCTGTTTCTCTCCAGGGAGCCCCACAAGGGCCTCGGGGACTCCCTGTGTCCTGCCCACTGGAACAGTTGTGGCTCCAGGGCTGCCCAGGAGCCCTGGCCAGAGAGCACAGCAAGGCTTTCTGGGCTTTCAGGAGCACCTCCTTTCTGCAGAGTGAAGCCCACCGAGCAGGTGGGGGGCATGCTGAGAAGCATTGTCACCAAAGTCAGGCCTGCTGGGGCCTGTAGTCCTGAGTAGAGGTGTCGGGATGCCTGGCAACAAGGACCCCATCCGAGGCCATCCTGTCACCCTGCCCACTCCTGGAATGAGGCCTGGCTGCTGCCTGGGAGGGACGGAGAGGCTAAGGTGCCCACAAACCCCCACTGTGTGAGCACTGGGCCCCCTTGTGTGGCGCCTGGCCGCCCCACACATCTGCAGCCCGCACACAACGGGCCTGTGTTCCGGCTAGCGGCGCCTGACTGGCACCCTCCTGCCCTCTGCGGCTGCGCCCCAGCTCCCTGATCTGGAGAGGACTCTGTGTGCAGGCAGGACCATGCAAGCGGGGAACATGTCACTCTCTGGCAGGCGTGCTGAGAGAAGACAGTGCGCAGGGACCCTTGAAGAGCCGCTGGGCAGTGGGGCGACGGCGTCTGCACCTGCTCACAGGCGTTGTGGGGGCCAGGTGGCCAGCTCAGATGGCAGGCTGGCTGAGGCTGGGTTACACAGCCGGCAAAGGATCGACTCTGGGCTTGTGAGAAGGCAGGGGCAGGGCCACTGGTGTGAGCCCCTACCCAGGGAAGGCGGTGCCAGCTGGTGGTGGTCACTAAGGCTGTGGGGCGGGGAAGCAGGCAGACCTGGCTCAGAGCGCTGGCTTTGTCCTTGGTTAGAGGAGACGGGCCACGTACCTAATCCCCTGGGCTTCAGTTTCTCCCCCAGAATGTGGCATCGTGGATCAGCAGTGGTGGTACAGGCCTATAGCCCAGCACTGGGTGGCTGAGGCAGGAGGGTTTCAAGTTCAAGCTCCTCCTGAGCAACTTAGCAGTGACTAATGAGACCCTTTCTCAAACTAAAAAGTGGTGCTGGAAATGTAGTTCAGTGGCAGGAGCTCCTGCCTAGCAAGTGCAAGGTCCTGAGTTTGATCTCATTTACCACAAAAAAAAAAAAAAAAAAAAAAAAAAGCAGGCACAATCAAAAAGTTATGATTCTGAAAATTCAATAAATAAGAAAATTTTCAAAAAAACAAAAAGTGTCTGGGGATTTGGCTTACTGGAAAGGCCATAAGTTCAGTCCTCAGTACTAAACGGAAGAAGAAAGTGGGGAGCTCAAGGAGGAGAAAGGGGACCTGCTGATGCTGTGTGCTAGGCCATTGTTCCCACTGGGAGGTGTCGTCTTCCAGGTCTGCTGGGACCCGGGTGCTGTGTGGCATGGGCTCAGCAGACACAGAACAGGTGGCTCTGTGGCCCACTGGCTTGTGAGTGAATGCAGAAGCCGGCTGACTCCATTTAAGCACAGTGGATGGAGGGTCCCCTCGGAGCAGTGTGGGGCGCAGGGGAGCCGCTGGGTGGAGAGTAGATCGCACGCCACACTGCCCTGGGCAGCCATGGGCTCAGCTCTGTGCCTCCTGCTGAGGCAAGTGCTGTCCCTGCCCGCTCACCAACCCTGCTGCCGGGAGGAGTGGGCTTGCTGCAGTGTCCCAGGCAGGAGGCCGTGAGCCAGAAGGGCTGCTTCTCAGGTGCCACGTGGTCCCCTCCACCCTCTGCCAATCACATCTTCTGTGTGGGGAGGAACTGAGTCAGGACCAGGAACAAGGCCCCCTCGTGACAGATGGGTGATGGTCTCCTCCCGGGAGAGGGGACGTTGTTGCCCTTCATGGAAGGAATCTGGCTAAGGAGTCTAGTCTCAGGGCTCTGTGGCTTTTCCCCAAGACCTGAGGGTCTTTGGGGTGTTTGAGACAGCAGTGTCACCCAGGCTACCAGCACTGCTTCCCGCTCTCCCTCCCAGAGCCCTGGGAGGCTCTGTGACTCTGGCACTGGGTGTCAGTGACAGGTCCCAACCAGCAGGGGCTCAGGGTGAGGGCCCCTCCTTCGTCCCTGCACCTGCCACCTGGTTGTGCCCCCCCCATGGGCCATGGCATTTGACAGCTGCCCCTGTGTCCCCACAGGCCATCAGCATCAGCAAGGCCATCAACAGCCAGGAGGCCCCCGTGAAGGAGAAGCATGCCCGGCGTATCCTTGTGTGCTTGCTGGGGGCCGAGGCCAGGGGCAGCATGCGCAGGCTGCATGGTCCTGCCTGCAGTGCGGTGGGGACTGGAGTGTGGGCACAACTTCTGCAGCTATGTGCCTGTGTTCTTGGGGCGTCCTGACCTCACGCCCACTCCATCTCTGCGCTCACTTGACCTTGACCTTGTAGGCATCATTCTGGGCACACACCACGAGAAGGGCGCCTTCACCTTCTGGTCCTATGCCATTGGCCTCCCGTTGCCCAGCAGCGCCATCCTCAGTTGGAAGTTCTGCCACGTACTGCATAAGGTCCTGCGGGATGGCCATGCCAATGTGCTGCACGACTGCCAGCGCTACCGGAGTAACATCCGGGAGATCGGGGACCTGTGGGTAGGTGCAGGTGTCCACGCCTCCTCTTTGGGCAGAAGTCGGCCGTGGTGGGGGTGGCAGGCGTCAGAGTGAAGTGGCAGCCTTGCTTTCTGGCATTGAGAGGCCCATCTGGAGGTGTGGATCCCGGTGCTGTATGGTCAGATGAGGGTTACACTTTCCACTTGCTCCCCAGGTGCTGGTCTTAGGCCCTGTGCAGGTGCCCTGGTCTTAGGCCCTGTGCAGCACTGGGGTCACCAGGTGGTAACATGTCTGTTCTGGGGGCCCCACTTGTTGCTGAGAGAGCAGGCGTTCAGACCCTGAGGGGCCCCTGAATTTTATCCTTGTTCCTGGAGGTCAGGGCGCACAGCGTGGGAGACGGAGCTGGAACAACTGGGACAGGACAGTGCACGTGCCTCTCGCCTCCTTTATCTGCCTGTGGCACTTTCCTGAAGTGTCCCAGGAAGTTGGCCTGCTGCCCTGGACAAAGCACCTCTTCTCAGAAGAGGTCCCTGGCTAGAATGACAAGGACCAGATAAAGGGAAGCTGGAGGAAGCGGTGGGGCATATAGAAGTGACTGTTGAGTGGACAAGCGACTGCTGAGCTTGGGATTGATGCTCCTGTCTCCTTCTCTTCCCACCTGTTCCTTGTCTGCCTGACTCCTGGGCTCTCAGGTGTGGCCTGGGGCAGTGGCCTCACTGAGCTCTGTCCCCATAGGGCCACTTACACGATCGCTATGGACAGCTGGTGAATGTCTACACCAAACTCCTGCTGACCAAGATCTCCTTCCACCTCAAGGTAGTTTACTTGGGAGTTGTGGGCTGAGGTCATAGGCTTTTCTCTGTGACACTGTGGTGGGTCTGTCCTGTCCGTGGCCCGCCCCCTGCTCCTCCCCAGGGTCTCTCCACTGCCCAGCTGGGTCCTCCTTGGCTGCTCCTTGGCTGAAGAGCTGGGCAGAGCTGATGTTGCCGGGAGCACCTGGGAGAGCTGTGGGCCAGCAGCCTGCCTGCAGCTGGGGTCTCTCTGCAGCACCCCCAGTTTCCTGCGGGCCTGGAGGTGACAGACGAGGTGCTAGAGAAGGCAGCCGGGACCGATGTCAACAATATGTGAGTTTCCTCTGCCACTACCCTGAGGGAGGTCATCGAGCCCCCTCCTACCCAGGCACCTACATGGGGTGCTCACACTAGGAGCACAGGCAGGAGGGTGGAACCTGGACATTTCCCTCTTGTGCAGAGGCTCCCTGCACCCTCTGGTCTTTGGGATGGATGGGCCCAGCACCCCAGCCCCCCTTCTTCCCTCTCACCTTGCAGCTTCCAGCTCACTGTGGAGATGTTTGACTACATGGACTGCGAGCTAAAGCTGTCGGAATCAGGTGAGTCGTCCTGAGAGGATGCCCAGCTCCGAGTGCAGGACACAGCTGAGCAGGAGCCCAAGCCCAGGCCTGGCCTTCGAGGCCAGTGCTTGGTCACTGAGCTGTGCCTAGGCAGCATTCTTAAATGCAGGTTGGTAGTGAGGTGCCTTAAGGAGGCTGTGGCAGGAAGATGGAACATGCAGAGCCAGCCTGGACAACTTCGCAAGACCTTGTCTCAGAAAGTAAAAGGCACTGAGGGCGTGGCTCAGTGGTAGAACACTTGCCTAGTATGTGTGAGGCTTGGGCTTCAACCCCTAGCACCACAAAAACAAATTCTTAAAAGGTCCTGTCCCTCCGCAGTCCACACTCGTCCTAGGAATAGGAACCTCCAAAGCCTGCTGACCCGTCTGAGACAGTCTTGGCAGTCCTTTCAGCCCGCACGCTTCACCCCATCAGTCCCAAGCACGGGGCCCTGGGGTGTGGGGGTCGTCCCTAGGTTTCTGCAGGCCACAGTGTGCTGGCAGCGGCCCTCCCCAGGCTGCCGCCTTTGGGTCTCACTGGGCACCTCTGAGTCACACAAGGCTTTCTAGCCGGGGAGCTGCTAGTAGGCAGGAAATGCGGGGGGGACCTCAGCATTCTTGGCAGTGCAAGAAGCAGGTGCCGTTGTAAGGGAAACTTGGAGTTGAGGTGGGTGGCAGCCCTGCTCTGGGCTCTGAGCTGGTTCTGACAGGGCTCTGTGGGCTGGGAGGCGGGGCACACTTGGAGGTGTGCAGGGTGTGGCTGCACCGGGGCTGTGGCTTTGCGCCCTAGCAAAGAGGTGTTAGGCCCAAGCCCCTCACGGCCCAGAGGCCACCAGGCAGGAGCCTCATCCCGTGTCCCCTCCCTGGCTGCTCTTAGCCCAGGAAGCAGCCCATATGGACAACAGTGGTCCCCACAACAGAAGTGCAGGGAACCCGCAGTTCCCCACCCACAGTGACACAGATGTCTTGAGAAAGCACAAAATGAGGTCACTGTGGTGGTGCCAGGTACAGGGGTCCCCGCATCCGCTGCAGCCCAGCGGCTCCACTGCAGGGGACAGTGTGGCTGCTGAGAGATGCGTGTGACACACAGTGGCTGGGAAAGAGCCGGAAACACTGGGCTGCGGGAAGCATGCAGGCTGCGTGGTGCCATCTGTTCCCGTGTCCCGCATGCTGCATGCCTCTAGGATGGCACTAACTGGAAATGGAGAGGCCAGGAAGGGGCTCCGCGCCTCCTCCCTGTCCAGGCAGAGATCTGCTCTGCCAGCAAGGGGCTGCGTGTTCACTCTCCGCCCTGGCCCTCTGCCTGCTTTTTGTCCCGGAGAAGCTGCAGGCCAGGGAGAAGGCAGTTGCGACTGTCCTTTGTCGGACTCTGCATTCTGATTCAGGCCTGGTTATCAGCCTGGAGGAGGCGAGGGCTGGGGTCCTGTGGTTCTGACCCTTTCCTTCTCTAAACTTCACAGTGGGTTGGAGCTGGTGGGCACCTTGCTGTGACCTTGTATGACAGGTCACTGTCGCCTAGGCAGTTGGGGCAGCTGTTGGGCCCAGCTGCAGCTGCGCTGCTCACGCGCTCTCCTCCCACCCTTCCCATGCAGTTTTCCGGCAGCTGAACACAGCCATCGCGGTGTCCCAGATGGCCTCTGGTCAGTGTCGCCTGGCCCCACTCATCCAGGTCATCCAGGACTGCAGCCACCTCTACCACTACACAGTGAAGCTGCTGTTCAAGCTGCACTCTTGTGAGTCGCCTCGATGCTGTCAGAATGAGTGATAGTGAGCTCTTTATCCGTTCATGGAAAAAACAGGTTTAAAAAAAAAAAAAAACAGGTTTTATGAAAATAACCACTATTTTCCAAAGCAGGAGAAAGATTTGAGTAGTGTAGTTTTACAGTTTAATGACTATTTTATGGGCTCTAGGGATTGAGCACAGGGCATCTGCACTGAGTTATACCCCCAACCCTTTATTATTTTTCGAGACAAGGTCTTAGATGGCCATTAAGTTGCCCACATTTAGCTCAAATTTGCAATCCTGCCTCAGCCTCCTAGATAACTGGGACTAGGTCTCCTAGATTGCAGTCACAGATTGTGACTGTCTCAGAAAGCCTGCCTCAGGCGAGGACAGTGGCCCCTCAGCTGCTCGGGAATCTGTCATATAATCTGAGGAAACAGGAATGACCAGGCACCCGTTGCTGTGGGATGGGAAACGGTTTCGCCTCCTTGCAATGGCTCTGATGCAGGTCATGGGGGGGCCTCTGATCTGGGGTTGCAGAATGTGGATGCATTAGGCAGGGGAGGAGAGCCCAGAGCAGGTGTCCAGAGAGGAAGCACCCCTCGACTTGTGCTGCCCCCTCCAGGTCTCCCAGCAGACACCCTGCAAGGCCACCGGGACCGGTTCCATGAGCAGTTCCACAGGTACCAGCGCAGGGCGGGCCTGGCTGCAGGGCTCCGTGGCTCCCCAGTGATGTGACCCTCCTCCTGTCTCTGCCTGCAGTCTCCGGAACTTCTTCCGCAGAGCCTCGGACATGATCTACTTCAAGCGGCTCATCCAGATCCCCCGGCTGCCTGAGGTGCCTGCACCCCACCTTTGGGCTCTGGGGACCACAGGGAAGAGTAGCTGAGCCACCCCAACCTCTGTCCCTGCAGAGTCCCCCCAATTTTCTGCGGGCCTCAGCCCTAGCTGAGCACATCAAGCCCGTGGTGGTGATCCCTGAGGAGGCCCCAGAGGACGAAGAACCTGAGAACCTCATTGAGATCAGCACTGGGCCCCCCGCCGGGGAGCCTGTGGTAAGCGCCCCAGTGCTGGTCTCCCCATGTCCTGCCCTGCAGTACTGGGGCATTGGGTGGCCAGAGCACAGGTGGGTGGAAGTCACCATGCCTTGCTGTGCAGGTGGCTCCCGACCTCTTTGATCAGACCTTCGGACCCCCCAATGGCTCCATGAAGGACGACAGGTAAGGCTGGGATGTGGGTGGGGATGGGCCCTGTCTGCAGGAAACTCGAGCTCAGGACGCACCCAGGGCCTGGAGAGAGGTGCTCCAGGGTCCGGGGCTTGAGTCCCAGGACCTCTGCCCAGGGACCTCCAGATAGAGAGCCTGAAGAGGGAGGTGGAGCTGCTCCGCGCCGAGCTAGAGAAGATCAAGATGGAGGTAAGGCAAGTGGCTGTGGGCAAAAGGGGGAGCCCAGGTGGCTGGAGCCCCACGCTGTCCCTGTTGTCACCCATAGGCCCAGCGGTATGTGGCGCAGCTGAAGGGACAGGTGAATGCCCTGGAGGCTGAGCTGGAGGAGCAGCGCAAGCAGAAGCAGAAGGCCCTGGTGGACAACGAGCAGCTCCTCCATGAGCTGGCCCAGCTGCGGGCCGTGCAGCAGGAGGGCGCGCGGAACCAGGGCCTACGCGAGGAGGCTGAGAGTGTGTGCGGCGCCAGCAGCTGGGCAGTGGCACTGGGCGGGGTCCCCACCTGGGCCTGACCTCAGCCTCTGTCCTGGCTTCAGGGAAGGCGAGTGCCACTGAGGCGCGCTACAGCAAGCTGAGGGAGAAGCACAGCGAGCTGATCAACACACATGCCGAGCTGCTCAGGAAGGTGGGCGCCCGCCCTCCTGGGCCATGCTGCGCCTGTGCTGCCTGCCCTCGGGGTCGGGCAGAGCTGAGCCTGCCTCTCTCTCCGTCCTGCAGAACGCAGACACCGCCAAGCAGCTGACAGTGACACAGCAGAGCCAGGAGGAGGTGGCCCGGGTGAAGGAGCAGCTGGCCTTTCAGATGGAGCAGGTGAAGCGTGAGTCCGAGTTGAAGGTATGGCCCCCGGAACCTGGTGTTCAAGGCCACAGCCCCCACCCCCGCCCCCAGCCCTAGTTACACTCTGTGGTGTCCTAGCTGGAAGAGCAGAGTGACCAGCTGGAGAAGCTCAAGAGGGAGCTGGAGGCCAAGGCGGGCGAGCTGGCGCACGTGCAGGAGTCCCTGAGCCGCACGGAGCAGGTGCCCCTGGGCTGGGTGGCTGGTGTGCTGTTTGAGCTGGGCCACACACGGGTGACATGGGGGCCTAGACCCACACCAGGAGGTCCCTAGACAGGAAGCAGCCCCACCCTAAGCCCAGGGCCCACGCCTTTGCAGAGCGGGTCAGAGCTGAGCTCGCAGCTGGATGCGCTGAGCACTGAGAGGAATGCACTGAGTAGTGCCATGCGGCAGCAGGAAGCCGAGCTGCGGGCAGCCCAGGACCTGGTGCAGGAGAAGGAGGCAGCCCTGAGCCAGGAGCGGCAGCGCAGCTCTCAGGAGAGGGCCGAGCTGCAGGGGCGGCTGGCAGAGAAGGTAGGGGCTGCCACGCCCCCCTGCGGGCTCCAGTTCTTCCGCATCCTCAGCTTTGCTCCCGGGCCACACTGCCCCCTTCTACCCTTTGCGGCCCAGCTTTTTGGGCGCCCTCTCAGGCCGTCTCCAGGGCAAAGGCTCGTTGAGCACTCACTCCCACCTGCACAGGCCAGCCCCAGGACAGACTCGAGCTCAGCAGCCTCCCCTGCTGCCTGAGCAGAGCTGGTTCTGTCCTGAGGCCGTAGGAGACTCCAGGACCCCATGTCCTGTCCTCCATACCACCCAGGAGTCTCAGGAGCAGGGGCTGCGGCAGAAGCTGCTGAACGAGCAGTTTGCAGTGGTGCAGGGCGCGGCTGCCGAGGCCAGGGCCATCCTGCAGGATGCTGTGAGCACGCTGGACGACCCCCTGCACCTGCGCTGCACCAGTTCCCCAGGTGGGCATCTACCCCCTTCCCCGCCTCAGACCAGGAGGGGCTGCCTCCTTAACAGTCGCACTGTGCTTGCAGCCTATCTGGTGAGCAGGGCTCAGGCGGCCCTGGACGCCGTGAGTGTCCTGGAGCACGGTCACAGTCAGTACCTGGCCTCCCCGGAGGGTGAGTGTGGCCTGCAGGTCCTCTGGGGGGAGGTCTTGGGAAGCCTCAGGACTGTGACCAGCGGGTGTCTGCAGGGGCAGGGAAACAGGGACTTCTCTGGTCCATGAACTGGGAGCACTGGCACCTCACATGTTGCTAAGAGATGACACAAGGACCTCACGTCCCCTCACCCAGCTGACTTGACCCTTCCACCCACAGACGCCTATGCCCTGGTGGCAGCCCTGACCCGATTTTCCCACCTGGCTGCAGAGGCCATCGTCAATGGGGGCGCCACCTCCCACCTGGCTCCCACCGATCCTGCTGACCGTGAGTGGGGCCCACGTGGCCTTGGCCAGGGGTGTGAGGCTTCTCCTGGGCCTGCGGCAAAAGCTCGCTCACACTGTCCCTCTGTAGGCCTGATGGACGCCTGTCGGGAGTGTGGGGCCCGGGCACTGGAGCTCATGGGGCAGCTACAGGAGCGCCAGGCACTGCCTCGGGCACAGCCCAGCCTGGTGCGGCACCCCCTGCAGAGCATCCTCCAGCTGGGCCAGGTAGGCTGTAGGGTGCCTGGCACCTACCTTTCTGTGTTCCCCACCCTCTCCACCTTCTCAGTGCGGGCTAGGGGACCATTGTGCTAGATTGCAGCACCCTCAGCCCTGTGGCCCCACACCTTCCCAGACACCTGTGGTGCAGTGCAAGCCTATCTGTGTGGCTTTTGTCTTCCCAGGAGCTGAAACCCAAGAGTCTGGATGTACGGCAGGAGGAATTGGGAGCGGTGGTTGACAAGGAGATGGCAGCTACATCCGCAGCCATCGAGGATGCTGTGCGGAGGATCGAGGTGGGGCCTTGGCTTCAGTGTCCCCCATTCCTCTAGGAGCCCTGAGGACAGGGGCAGCTGCATGGACCCTCAGACAGCATTTCCTGGGGCTTCTGAGGTCCACTGTGGGAGGGCAAGAGGGTCCTGGGGTCCCTGCCCTGACCTGGGACTGTTGCTGACTCATGGCTGTCATTGAATGCAGGACATGATGAACCAGGCCCGCCATGAGAGCTCAGGGCTGAAGCTAGAGGTGAATGAGAGGTGCGTCCTGCTCCTGCCCCTCCCCGCAGGGAGTGCCCTAGTCCCACCCCTGTTCCGTTCTGGGAGGTTCCCCAGAGCTCCCCTGCCCTGCTCTGGCCATCCCCTTGAAGCCTCACGCTTGACACTTTCTCTTCCCACTGCTCCCCAGGATCCTCAACTCCTGCACAGACCTGATGAAGGTGAGTAGGCACTGGCACCCAGTGAGGTTCTGTAGGGATGGGGGCAGGCATGCCAAGAGCCAAACCTCTCGGTCTGCAGGCTATCCGACTCCTGGTGATGACCTCCACCAGCCTGCAGAAGGAGATCGTGGAGAGTGGCAGGGTGAGCTGGGGCCACAGCCACCCACACAGTCACCACCCACACAGAATCCCGCCCCAGGGACGGGATCCTGAAGGGTGTAATCCCGCCATGCTCCTTCGGGCATCCCCCCGCCCCAGGAATGTCAGGATGGGGGGGAGGCTGGGGCTGTGTGCCCCAGGGGACCAATTTGTTTCGCATGTGATGTCCTCTCACTGCCACCAGGGGGCAGCCACACAACAGGAATTCTACGCGAAGAACTCGAGATGGACGGAAGGCCTCATCTCTGCCTCCAAGGCTGTGGGCTGGGGAGCGTCGCAGCTCGTGTAGGTGCCCAGCTGGGGGCTAGGGGCCGGTTCCTGCCCAGGGAGTCGGAGGTGGCAGTGGGCGGGTAGACCCGGCCGTGAGCAGCTGCGCCCCCACGCAGGGAGGCGGCGGACAGGGTGGTGCTGCACACAGGCAAGTATGAGGAGCTCATCGTCTGCTCGCACGAGATCGCGGCCAGCACTGCCCAGCTGGTGGCTGCCTCCAAGGTGAGCTGTGCTGCTGCCCGCGACCGCCTGGCGCCCGACTGGGCTGCGGCCAAGGCCGGGGCTGGCCGCCCAGCCCTCTCCACCCACTGCTGTCCCACCCAGGTGAAGGCCGACAAGCGCAGCCCGTGCCTCGGCCGCCTACAGGAGTGCTCACGTGCTGTCAATGAGAGGGCCGCCGGCGTGGTGGCCTCCACCAAGTCGGGCCAGGAGCAGATCGAGGACAGAGGTGGTGCTGGGGGCTGCTGGCTTCTGGGACTGGGCAGGAGTGGGCGCCAGACACTCAGCCCCTTCTCTTACCCACAGACACCATGGACTTCTCCGGCCTGTCGCTCATCAAGTTGAAGAAGCAGGAGATGGAGACGCAGGTGAGCAGCTCAGACGTGGCCAGGGCTTTGTCCCCACCAGGGCTGGTGCTGTGCTGAGCTGACTGGGCTGTGCGACACAGGTGCGCGTGCTGGAGCTGGAGAAGACGCTGGAGGCGGAGCGCGTGCGGCTCGGGGAGCTGCGGAAACAGCACTACGCGCTGGCTGGGGGCGTGGGGCCGCCCGGTGAGGAGGAGCCCAGCCGGCCCGCCGCTGCCCCTCGGGGAGCCACCAAGAAGCCACCCCTGGCCCAGAAGCCCAGTGTAGCACCAAGACAGGACCAGCAGGTGCGGGGCTTCAGCCCTGGAGTGGGGAGGCCACACCACAGGCTCCAGGCCTCACCCATTCTCTCGTTTGACCCCACAGCTGGATCGCAAGGAAGGAACGTGCCCTCCTCAGCTCAACTACTAGGCCCCTGAGAGCCGGCGGGTGGCTGGCTTCGGGCCTGGGCTGTCAAGAGGGTAGCCCAGGTCAGCGTCCGTAGGCCTGCGAGCCAGTGTGGGTGGCAACTGTGCGCGGCTGCGGGGCTGCCGCTCTGCAGGAACACAGGGCCTTTTTACTGTCCAGCTTTGATCTTCATTTCCAAGTTTATAGTGTGCGTATTGGAGAGGGAGCCAGCCCAGGGGCCTCCCCCACCGTCCCCCCAGACCCAGCAAGTCTGCAGCTGTCGGTTGTAGGTGGGGTCCCTGCTGGCAGCTGGGGACGAGGGTACAGCCAGCAGCCTGTGTGGCCTGGAGTCTTTGAGGGGTACTGAGCCCTCAAGTCTCCGAGGTAGCTGGGTTGTGGCCCTCGCTCCTTGGCCTGGTGCTAGGGCACCCATGTTGGGTGCCCCCCAGCAGGTGGCTGGCGCTGTGGGTGGTGAGAGCCACAGGAGCCATGCCCATGGGCAGTGCTGGCTCAGGGCTGCCTTGCCCCTGGAGTTCCACTCCCAGCTGGACTATGGCCACACCCCCCCCCTTGTTTTCCCTTCGGATCTGACTGCTTTCCCACCACCTGTCAAGGTGGTGGCCTCAGGCCTCCAGCTTTGGTTGGGAAAATCCTGGGTCCACTGGACCCTGTTCTGGACAAGGTGGTCACCATCAGAGAGGGACGCCTGGACTGCAAGCTCAGTCTTACAGCCCCAGCTGGATTGAAATGAGTTCTGTTCCCTGAGCCTGGGGGGAGCTGGAGTTGGGGACCAGGCCAGAAGCACAGAGCTGGGAGGTCAGAGTGGACAAGGTCCCTCCACTGGCCCTCTCCCTTGAGGGGGAGGGAGCCCCCTTCTGTGCTCTGGTCAGCATTCCTGGCAATAAACCGCACTGACTGTTGTCACCAGTGCCCCAAGGAAGGACTGCATGTCTCCTCATTTTCTAGCGACTCATTTCCTCTTCAGGCCCTGGAACTCCGCGCTTCTACAGGGGTGGGGTGACAAACCACTGGGGACCAGCCTAGGCATGCTGGCTCCATTCTACCCAGGACCTGGGCTCCCCTTGAGTTAAATCCTCCCAGCAGCCAAGTCATGCACCTGTGGACAAGGAGGCCGTGTGGTCTCGGTGCAGGAAGCTGCCTGGTGCAGCCTTGCCTGCCTGGAGGGAGCAGTCTCACGTATGCCAGGCACACAAGCCAGCCGCTGGCACAGGATGCAAGGACAGCATACGTGAGTCAGGAGTCGCGCAGCACTGACTGCGCCGGCCCCTCCCGGGTGGGTACCTGCTCGGTGTGGGGCCTGCAGCCCTGCGGGCAGGGGCTACTGATACAGCCTGGTCTAGAAGGCAAACTAGCTTCATGACTTTTCGGAACCAGTGACTGCCCAATGAAATGCTGACAAGTGTGGTAAACTGACTGCTTCACTGACCTGAGGAGACTCGATCTGCTGTCGGCCCTCAGGGATCGCTCCTGACTGGAGGTCCCCCACCCCCAGGAGGCTCCCCTCTGGTCTGTGTCCCCTGCTCACTTGCTCACAGCAGCTGTCCCTGGGCCTCCTGAGCAGAAAGGACCTGCAGAGGAAGAGGGCATCCTGTGAGGCCAAGCTTGGGCCTTGGAGCACCGCGCGCACTGTGTGGCTCCTGGCAGCCCCTGGGGAAAACTTCCCCAACACAAATCTCTTTTTCGACGGCAAAGCAATTTTTCAGACATTCATCACTACATGGTATGCAGGGAATGGCAGGCACTCTTAGTGACACTGAGCCTGCCCGTGGGCCTCGAGCCCAGGTGGCAGGTACCGGAGCACACAGGCACATGGCTCTGCCCAGGAGGCAGAGCAGACAGGACCCCTACCCTGGCCCTCGGCACGGTGGGCAGCGCCACCATAGCTCTCGGAACAGCAGTGAGCCGGTTCCCACGGCGTAAGGACAGAGCCACTAAACTCTCCCATCTGACCAGAGCGCATCAGAGTTTCCATCGACCGGGCAGCCAGAACGGTGGGCACAGCTGGGCACATGCATGCTTCTTGCATGTCACTGCTGCGAGAGGAGCACTGCCATTCCGCCAGGCTAGCCAGGCAGCCTCTGGTCTCACCACCGCGAGCCTCCCCAGGTGAAGAAATGACACAACCATTATTAACAAGTCTCGATTTATTAAAAACAGTCCTACAACTTAGAGCCACGGCACCAGATATGGCCGTGGATGGCAAGTGTGGTTGGCCTGGCGACTCTGCAACGTCACACCGAGCTCACGTTTGGCAGTAGCTGCGTGGGCTGGGTGTGGCCAACACGGGTGGGCAGCAGAGGTATCCTCGGAGGGTGGCACCACTTGCTGGAGAGCCACAGAACATGGCAAGCCCACCTGACTGGCACGGCAGTGAATCATCGTGTAACTTTGCTTCTTTATAAAACAGTTACCACACAGCAGAGTTCAAGTCCAGAAACGGGGGTACAGGAAGTGAGGACAAAAGCTGGTGGCCTTGCCTGTAGCCCACTGGGACAGGCTCTGATTCAGCTCTACCCTGTCACACTGGGTGGTAGCCAGCTGGCAGCAGGTCACAGGTCAGGCTGCCCGACAGATAACAGGATGAGGGTGGGGGACAGGCCGGTCCTGGAGCGGGTGAGGCGTGGCCTGCCCTGCACCCTGGCACCCACACATGGGGCACCTGCAGGTGGGGCAGGCCACGGTCCTCCCTGCCCCCCCCGCCCCACCGAGCACCCCCACCTTGGAGTATGGCACCAGCCAGCTAGAGGCAGATGCCCTGCTGAGGGTGCCTGGTGGCCAAGGTGGCGCCTCCCCCCCGGCACGGGACAGTGCATGCGGCGAGGCCTCCAGAATCACTGAGCTGTGAGCCTGGCCCAGCCTGCAGGCCAGGGCACCTACAGTGGGCACCAGGAAGGCCTGGCACCGGTAAAGGTAAGGCACAGCACGGGCCCCCGCACGTGCAACCATGCAGTGTATATGAACGGAGACTGCATTCGTTTCATCTGCATCTCAATCTGCTCTCAACAGCATTTGCATTTTTAAGTTTCCCTGAATGATCTTGTGTCACAAGTTCTTTCCCAATATAAAACAGGAAAATTACACATGTAGTAAAAACACTGGGGAGGATCTCCCCACAGAAGCCCCGGGCTGACTCGCAGGACTAGCAGGGACTCAGGCCAGAGAAGCTCAGCTTTGTGGCCTCTGGACAGCAGTGGCCCCCACACGGGTGGCACTGTGGCATTGAGGCCTGAGGAGCAGGGGGACAAATGGTAACCTGCCCTGGACACTGAGCCGAGCAGGCAGGTACAGTGGCCCAGTGGGCATCCCCACCCCTGCACCCCCAGGCTGGCCATCTCCCAGACCTATGGAGCACCAGCCATGGGTGAGACGCACAGCAGTCTTGAAAATAACAGGTACAATTAGCCATGCTTATTAAATAAAGCTGCAATGGGCGAACCAGGATTCTGACTAGGAGTGGTGGTGAAGTTTTTCTCTTTCCAAATGCATGAGTTTGTCAACACTATGATACTCAGCAATCACACAGCACGCAAACCAATATGACGCACAGGCAGGCCAGGCCACAGCCTGGCAACATAGAGCCTTGCAGCGACAACCTGGGTCTCTACTTCTACTAGCATGGACGTACGGTTCTGGAGTCAGACGGACCCTGCAGGCAGCCAGCCCTGCCCTGCCCCACAGCCCGACCTGGAAGCCTCGCTGTAGAAGGCAGTGTGGTGGGCAGAGGGCATCCAAGGGAGGATAGGAGCCACGCTCACTGCAGGATGAAGCCCGGCTGGTGCGGAGGCAGTCGTGGCGGGGGTCTCTGGGGCAGAGCCGGAGGGTACGGTGACACCAACTGTGCAGAGAATCCCTGCTGTGGGGGCAGGCCCACCCGAGGTGGCAGGGGCGGGCACTGCGGAGCGCAGTATGGAAGGGCCTGTCCTGAGCCCGTGGCTGCGGTGAAAGGGGTGGCCAGGCGTCCTGCAGGCACCGGGGGCGGTGGGGGAGGGACGCGCCGAGGCACAACAGAGGGGGGCACGCTGGCATCCAGGGCAGCGGGCACAGCCTCAGGCACCCTGGGTGGCAGCGGGGCCAGGGCCTGCAGGGGTCTCTGCCCCTTGAGCACCATCTCCTGGAGCTTCTCCACCTTCACGCGCCGCGTGTGGGCCAGCTTCCGCTTGCTCTGGTAGACGTCAATGAATGCGTCCAGTGGGAGCTCGCCATCCAGGAACTTTTCGGCCATGTTCTGGGTGAGGCAGCAGAAACTGCGTTACTGACAGGCTGACTGCTGAAAGCATGCTCCCCCCACTGTCCAGGGCACCTCCTTCCAGCGCCCCTCTTTCTGGAATAGCCTCTCGGTATCTGGCTCGGCACACTCTGGGGGATGCAGCTGGCTTGGGTTGAGGGCGGCAGGGCTACCCCCCGGCAAAACTACTGGAGGCAAGGTGGGCGGCCATGCTATAGGGTCACCTCCTGAGCCACAGCCACGGACCACAGGCCTGGAGGAACCCAGCCTTACAATGAAGGGTGATCCTGAGATGTTAGTCCTCTACCCAGGGTTGTGACCACTGTCCCAGACGTGACTGTCTCCAGCTCGGTAGCCAAAGCCCACACTCCTGGCTCTCCAGCTGGCCGCACCCTGACCACAGACTGGCCCCAGCCCAGGTCAAACCCCCTCACTCAGCATGTCTGGGCCCCCGAGGTCTAACAGTTACAGAGCGGTGCAGACCCTGGCACGTGCTGCCAGCCCCAACTCGCGGTCTGCCGCAGGCTGGCCAAGCGCCCCGCTAGCCATGTCCACATGGCTGTGGCCACCACCTGACTCACAGGCCCCACCAGATGGCTGCTTGGGTCCTGGTGCTCACGAGGCTGGTGCCAATTCAGTGCAATAGGATCTCCCTGTGGCTGGCTCCTGGTGGCCCTGGGACTTCCCAACTGCTGTCTGTTGAATGCCCAGAGGGACCCCGAACCAGGAAAGGCCCTGAGCCTGCAGCTAAGCGGGCTGACCATACCTCAGTGTCCTCCTCGATCTTGGCCCCTTCTGCTTGAAGAAGTGCCAGGAGTGTCTCCAAGGAAGCGCTGCTAGACTGTTTATCTGGAAGAAGCAGCGGCATGAGATGGGCTGCACCCCACCAGATGCCTTCCCACACCCCACAAAGGTGGTGGGAGTTGTGTCCATAGAAGGCTGGCTTTTCGGGAAGCAGGAAGGAACAGTCTTAAATTAACCACTGAAAAGAATGTGCAGAACAAGCGCCCAGGGTAGACTCAGGACCAGCATCGAGTAGCAGAGTGCCCACGGTCCCCATTTGTCCTGTGGGGTGAGCTGTTTTCATACCCGTGACAGGAGGCTTTCACATGGCTCTGTATTCTCCACTGGGTGGCAGTTCACAGCACACACACATGAAGCATCTCTAATGCTTACAAGCACGTAAGCCCCATTCCCATCCAAGAGAGGGCTTTCCCAGAGGCTCCCTCGTGCCCACCTCCAAGCGCCCGCCAGCGCCCGCCAGCGCCCCAACGACATCCACTGGCCTACAGCCACACCTCAGTGCTGCCCGGCTTGCTCCAGACACTGTCGGACTCTCCTGTGCCATGACATCCATCCCACTCAGTACACACCACGTTTGCACGCCCACCATTCCATAGATGATGGCTGCTTCCACAGTCAGCTATGACAAAGCTCCATCTGGCTTTTTGTATATCTGAGACAGGTCTCACGATGTAGCTCAGCCTGGTCTTGAGCTCTCATGATCCTGCCTCAGCCTGCAGTCTGCCAGCACAAGATCTGCAGCACCAGGGATTAAACACGGAGCTGTACCCCCAACCCTCAATTCTAAGACAAGATCTAAATCACTAAATTATATCCAGGCTGGGCTTGAATTCGTGATCCTCCTGTCTCAGCCTCCCATAGCTGAGACTCCAGGTGTGCACCATCACACCCCACTCACAAGTGTTTGTATGACAGATACAAGCATCCATTTCTGCGGGGTAGATACTCAAGCACAAACTACAGCATTACAAGGTGTACCAAACAACTTTTCCAAGGTGATATTACTGATTTCTGGATGCGGCAATCCTTACTGGCTCCAGGCACTGCCCAGCTTTCTTCCTCTGCCGCCAGGGTCGGGTGTGCGGCATATGTTCATCAGTTATGCAGATAACCAGGGCTGGCGTGCAGCAAAGGCTGGACACCACGGCAGCCTCTCTAAGGGTGGCTTTCTCCCACGTTCTCCTACTCTCAATGTCCCCTTTAAAGGCTAGAAATCCAGCTGAAGAGACAAGCGCTTGCCTGGCACCAGTCAATCCTAGCACCACAAACCACCACAAACCACCACAGCCCACATCTTCCTCTGGCCAGGTGTGGTGGGGCAGCTCTGTAATTCCAGCCCTCGGGAGGCTGAGGCAGTCAGCCTGGGCTACATAGTGAGTTTAAGGCCAACCTAAACTGTATAGAAAAACTGTGTCTCAAAAAAAAAAAAAAAAAAACTCTCAAAAGCACTCTGGACTTTCAATAATACTCAATTTCTCCATCTCTTCAGAACAACTGTAAAGCAAATGTAACTGTAAAGTGTTCCAGCGATAAGTACATCATTAGCTTTGAAGACCAAACAGCATAACTCAGAAAAGTGCTTTTTTCTATGTTATTTGGAAGATAGACTTCTGAATTTAAAAAGTGCTCTTTTCTAAACTAGAAAAAAAAAAAAAAAAAAAAAAAAAAATTTTTTTTTTAATGTTTTATTTATTTTTGGCAGAACGGGGATTGAACTCAGACACTTGAGCTTGCTGGCAAGCGCTTACTCTACTGAGCCATCTCCCTGGCCCCGAAACTATAAAAATTGTATACATTACTGTGCTAGTGCAGCAGAGCCGCTGTCTTAACCCGCAATCTTCCCACAACGTTCCCTTCCTAGTAAGGCAACAGCCTGAAAACCTGGCCGGCCCCGACTATTCTTGAAGAGTCCCCCGAGTTACCTATCCTGGTCTTCTTTATCTGGTAGGCTTCGAAGAGGACCTGCAGCTCCTGGTACCTCTGAGTCAAATGCGCCTTCCGTGCGTCCAGCTGCGGCTGATAGAGCAGGTTCCCCTCCGCCAGGCTCCGGTTGCTGGCCAGTGTCATCTCTTTGCTCAGCTGTACAGTCTGCGTCTGCAAGAGAAACCAAGTGTGTCAGCTCACGGGGCCCCCACACAGCCCGGAGCCCGCAGACTCACTGTCCCCATGCCACACCACCTGTAGGGCACAGGCTGCAACCTGGAGGGGCCCCCGCTGGAGTCCCACTCAGACCTGAAAGCGCGAAGCCACCTGCTCCCCAACTGTCTCCAGAATTTGCTCGGTGCTGGCGCTCTGTGCGGAGGCCCTGCTGACCCGGCCACTGTCTTCCCAGGAAGCAGCTTACAGGCACAGGGCCGAGCTAAAGAAACCACTCTGCACAGACGCAGGTCCACTGCCTTGAGGGCGCAGCTTCAACTCTGCAGACTGGACAGCCAACCCAAGGCGCCCTGATAACGCAGCCTTCATGGTAACCCGTGGGCTCCAAGACCACGCCATGAGCCACACTGACCCAAAACCAAGCCAAGTGCTTGGAGTTTGGAGGCCACCTGCACATGTCTCAGAGAGGAAAGGTACGAAGGTCTGAGAAACAGGTGAGGGCAAACGCAGCCAGAGCACTGAAAGGAAAAAGGCAGAGGCCCAACACACCCGTATTCAAGTTCCCTTCCCACCTGCTCAGTCATGGCCCTTCTCCACTGCCACCTGTCTTCTGCACTTGAGCTTCTATGAGACACGGTCCTGTGGCCTGCGCCACAGGGCTCTCACTGAGGTGCCCCACCACCACAGTCTCCTCTCACTTTCCAGCACCCCACTGCCCGCCTGCACCATCTCCACTGCTACCTTCGTCCTCTCTGGATTTTGGATCCACTCTTCCCTCCCACACCTCCCATCAGCTCCCTGCAATGTGCTTGCGCAATCTACCCCAGAACATGCACAAACACAGACAGTGAGCCTGGCTCAATGCTTCAGCAGGCGCGCCCTGCCAGCTGACCAGACACACACCTACACACACAGGCTAGGCCAAGGGGCCCTATAGATTAGGCTCAGTTTAAAACTGAAAGGATGTTAAAAAAAAAAAAAAAACCTGAAAGAATTGGACCACAGAGATAGCTCAGCAGTCTAGGTGTCTGCCTAGGCAAGTGCAAAGACCCAGGTTCGATCCCTGGTACCTCATGCCATGCCAGCCCTGCTTGGGTGCGGCCAAGCCAGCCACTGAGACTGGGCGTGGTGGTACACCCCTGTAATCCCAGCGCTGGGGAGGCTGAAACAGGAAGATCACTACGAGTCCAGACTGTACAGTGAGACCCTGTACCAAATACATAAAAAACAAAACAAAGGATTGATGGAAAGGTAAACCTCCTGGATAAAATGCGACCAATCAGTAGCATGACCACTCTAACAAAAGAAAAACCTAACTGATTCCAAAAGGATTATGTGGTTTCATAGATTTAAGTACAACAAGAATATTAGCAATGGGACAGATGGAAAGGATGGGATTCTGACATCCTTCACGCACTCAGATGTTTCCGTGTGAATAAACATTAGGAATTCCAAGTGGCTGCCCTGCACACACTACAGTGCCCCCAAAGCAGACGTGGGCAGCAGGGACCCAGGCCAGGAAGTGGGTGCTAACGGTGGGCAGAGCTTCCTTTCCCGAGCACCTGGGTGAGCTTGTCCAGTTCCTGGGGCCCTGACCACCCTTGACACAGATGCTGTACCATCCTGTTCTGGCCTTTCCACCATCCCAGGCTGAGGAACAAGGGCAGAAACATCCAGGCCCACTCATCTGCAAAGCCAAGGCCACCAGCCTGGACAGGACCAGAGCCCCTGGGAACCCAGAGCACGGGCTCCGCAAGGCCCAGGGCGCCAGCTCTTGCCCAAGACCCACGGCTGTGAACCATCTGCCTGCTGCCTCTGTGAATGCTGTGAGAGGGCCCTTGTGTTTTTAGAACCATCAGACTACAGAGAGAGAACCCTAAGTTTCTCAAGTCCTCTCTCTCTGGTCAGTACCACAAGCAGCCTGAAATCGGAAACCCCAGTGCTGACCTCTTGATCTTTCTCGTGACCCTTTTTTCTTACTCATAAACAGATCTTTTCAGGAAATAATTTCTTTGTGGTAAAGAAACATTTACAGATGTATTCAGTTTCACTTCAGTTTCTTTTTTTCTCCTGAAGGAAATTGAGATGCTCGACCGCCGCATTTGCAGCAGGACGCGTTTGCGCAAAGTCGTCTCTGCCAGCCATCTGTCCCAGAGCGCCCTGGAGCAGGCACGCCCAGCCCAGCACGATTCTGGCCCCCTCCTCACCCCACTCTTTTTTTTTTTTTTTCACCCCACTCTTGACCACAAGGTGCAGGATATTAGTGTCATGAGAAGGGCAGGTGTTCTGGCCTTTTAAAACAGATTGCCCTCGTTTTAAAAATGAAAAAGCAGTGTCTTCTACTTGCCTACAGCAGAAACATGGATCCTCCTTTATCTCTCAGAGCACATCTGCTTTGCCCGCACGCGCCTGTGTGCACTGGAGGTGGAATCCGCAGCTCAACACGTGCCAGACAAACACTACCGCTGAGCGACACACCGAGCCCCAGACCCTTCGAGGAAGGCCTCATTATGTGGCCCTGGCTGACCGCACACTCCTGACCCGCCTAACTCAGACTGCGCAGTTCAGGCTTGGTTTCATCATGTATTTATTTTGGTTGGGGGAATATGGGAGAAAACAGTAAGAAAAATAGATACACATTTTCCCCTGCAGCTGGGTGTGGTGGCACAAGTCTGTAAATCCCAGCACTCTGGAAGCTGAAGCAGGAGAATCACAAGCTAGGGTCCTGCCTGGGGATTCAGTGAGACCATGTCTCAAAAATGGAAAAGGGCTGGGGAAGCAACTCCGTACGAAGGCCAGGACCACCAGGAAAACACCGGCAAGCAAACACAACAAGCCGACCAGACACACACCTACACACACAGGCTAGGCCAAGGGGCCCTGCAGATTAGGCTCAGTTTAAAACTGAAAGGATTTTTAAAAAAAAAAAAAAAACTGCCTTCTGCGCGTGCAACCGTCCAAGGGCAGAGCCAAGGATGGGACAGTGCCCGTGGTCATGTGGTAGTGCCAGGAGGACTGGGGTTTTGCCAAGGCCCTCCAAACCAGCTGCTCCACGGGTGCAGTGCCAACCAAGCTGGCAGTCTGGCCCTTCTATAACTGGGCTGAAGCCCTCCCAGATGCCCAGGCAGACACATCTGTATTTCCAGAGAAACCTCTTTCATGGCAGCCCCCTGCTATCCTGTGCACTCCTGCAGAACCCTCACCAGAGCAGCTGGTGACATCGCAGGCTTGCTAGCAAGGTTAAATACACAGCCACTCTCCCCCGTGCTGAAGTCTGCTGAGCCTGGGCTAGCGGCTACTTCAGCTGAACTTGTCCCCACCGCCCTTTTCTGAAGGTCTGACACACACCAAGCAGCACTGGCACTGTACTCAGCAAGCAAACATCTAGTCAGGCACAGCAGGAACTCCACCCGGGCTGAAGAGACCACCACTCCTCCCCCTCTGCTTACACAGGTTCCACCACCTCGGGCAGCCTCCTGCCAAACCATGGCCTGCCACTAACTGTGCCCGAGCCGAGGGCCTGGCAGTGGTTCTGAGCGGCCTCCAAGCTCTCCCAGCCCCACGGCCAGCCCAGGTCCTCAGCACCAGGCACACTCAGGCCCCCTCCTTTCCTGAAGCACAATCCACACCACGAGTGAGGGACACAGTCACAAGCTGAGGAAGCAGAATCGGACTCCCTGGGCCCTCCAGGGGACACTTGGCAGCCCGAGGCTGGACTTCTGGCCCCCACAACAGCAGTGGACACCTTGTTGTTTTAAGCCACACAGTTTGCAGTAATCTGTTAAAACAGCCACCAGAAACTAGTGCAGCCCGGAGTGCCCACCTGTCCTGGACACCCCAAGTGCAGCCCAGAGTGCCCACCTGTCCTGGACACCCCAAGTGCAGCCCGGAGTGCCCACCTGTCCTGGACACCCCAAGTGCAGCCCGGAGTGCCCACCTGTCCTGGACACCAGTCTCCAAGTGGCTGCGCTCTGCTGGCCCTGTAGTGAGCCGTTTGCTCCTGCTTCTGCTTGGGTTCAGCAGTTCAGACCCAGGTGGGAGAGTGAAATGGGGCAGCGTTTCTCCGTCATTCTCTGCCCAAGGGGGCAGCAGGCGGGCCAACCCTGCCCTGCCTGAAGAGTCTCCACACACTCTCTGTGAGGAGCCCTTCAGTTCTTTTTTGTTTGTTTTTTTGGCAGAACCGGGGATTGAACTCAGGCCCTTGCGCTTGCCAGGGAAGCACTTATTCCACTAGGCCATCTCCCCTGCCCCGTTTTTGTTTTTTTGAGGAGCCCTTCAGTAAGAATCACACCTGGAATGCACACCAGCCACCCCAGCACTGGCAGCTGAGGCAGAAGAATCCTAAGTTCAAGCCCCGCCTGGACAACTAAGTTTATATTTAGCAAGATCCTGCCTCAAAATAAAACAATAAAAACAAAAAAGTGGGGCCAGGGAGATGGCTCAGTGGAATAAGCGCCTTCCTGGCAAGCGCAAGGGCCTGAGTTCAATCCCCGGTTCCACAAAAAGGGGGGGGGCAGGGTTGTAGCTCAGTGCAAAAGTCCTGGCTCATTCAATACTGTGAACGAGAGCGAGATGTGAATGAGCAACTATGGATCAAACCACACAAGGTCAGTGTGCATCATGGGCTGCTTCCTGACTACATGAATGCCAATGGGCTCCCACCTGCCACCCTGAAGACATCAGGCCCCCTGAAGAGCACAACTGTTGGACCACGCAGTCCCACGAGTTCCGCATGCCGCAGATACCCTCATCATACACCCGGCCCCTTTGCATCCTGGGCGTGCAGGCCACAGCCTGCCAGTTAATGTGCGCACATCGCAGGGCTCCTGGGAAGAGCAGCTCCCTACTTCATCATCACCGAGCAGGAATGCTGCAGCCCAGTGCTCACAGCACAGAGAACCAAATGCTGGATGCAGGCCCCCCAGTGCTCCGATGCGCACAGCAGTGAAAGCGGCCGGGGAGCGAGAGCTCCAGAAACCTCCTGACATGACAGACTG